GGCCTGTTACCTATAAGGAATTATTTACCTGGCATTTTCTTATTATATCACACAATTATAACTTCCAGTGTGCACCAAGCGTCCTCAAGCTCTTAAAACGCGTGTCAGCTTTGATAAATTCTGGATAAAGTTTGAGATAAAGTGGCAAAACATCAATGTCGGCATTCCCCGCAGATCATTTCTCCCATTTTCGGCTTTCCCCGCAGTCCGGGGCAACGCCGAAAAAGTCACTTCTTTGATATTTTTAGTTTGTGCGCTTAACGGTATGCGAATTCATCAAATGCGCCTGGTATGTTTGAAAGGTAAAAGACTGACCTCTCGAATGACGCCAACAAGAATAGCTCTTGCTGTCTACCTTGCGTGCTACGGGCGTCAGAAAAAAAGTATTCGGCGTTCCCCCAACTTCCCCTATACAACGAATAATGCAAGGTGTATTATTCGATGAGGGGTGGTAACAAAGGAAAAAGTATTACGAGAAAGGTTAGGTATAAATGCTAAACAATAACATACTATGATTAGAAGTGAGTACAACTTTCAAGGACGGTATGCTCAGACTGCTCGAAGACTGCGATGCAGCACATGACAGTAGCACACTGCATAGTGGCTGTGTTTACGCTTCCGATCAGTAGCGGCGGAACACCTTCAATTAACCCGCGCCTTCAATTAAGACCGCCACGGCCAGTGACGATCTCAGCCAACTTCGCCCTAGTGGGGGGCGGGCATATGTTACCCCCACCTCTAACTCAAAAACTAAGAGGGATAGAAAGACGCGGTAAAAGCAGTCGATAGCTCTCGATGCGTACGTTTGAAAGTATTTCAGTCATTTTTCATCTTAGAGCAATATTGGGGTCACCAGAGGTCATCAAAGGTCAAAATTTGCGAATTGTCATATTTTTCAGAAAACATGCAATTATCTCAGGAACTATGATAGCTAGAAAAACGCTGCGAAAAGCAATCGATAGCTTTTGAACTCTTCTTTTGATAAGGTCATCATTAAAAATGACCTCAGGTCAACGGTTTAGCCTCCAGAGGGCAAAAACTCTGTTTTTGAAAAACTCAAAAATAGCTGTTTTTACGAAGTGTTTTTCGACCATAACTTTTGACTAAAAAAAAAAAAAAAAACTAGGACATTTCTATTGCCAGAATCGTGTTCCTCTCGCCGCGACGCGTCGAATGAACTATAATTTGACCTTGAAAGGTCAACTTCAAAATTTGACCTCAGGTCAAGGTCATGACCTGACCGGAAAAGTCATGTTGCATATCAGCCGATGCGTCTCGGCAAGACAAACACGCCGCGGTTTTTTATTCACACGCAAAAAACGCGACAGGGTGGTAACATATGCCCCCCCCCCCCACTGGGGCGAAGGTTAGGGGGGGAGGGCACTGCCGACTTTTGGTCCCATTCTTTCCATGCAACGCCCATAGGGCTAATGTTAAAATGCCAGAATCAAAGGGGGGCACGGTGCCCCGGTGCCCTCCCCGTTCCGCCGCTTTGCTTCCAATGTAAGTACAGGCGACTGTTGAGCGTTGACGAAAAGGACTGAGGGAGCATTTAGTTACCAGATACAAAAGAGAAAAGATCCGCGGACAGCCTTGGCAGCGTGTTTACAATATAACAAAAGAAAAAAAAACTAATAGAAGGACGCAGGTAACAGCAATATTGGACGTGTCTGACTAGCTATTGGCATGATCCATGAGAGCATTCAGTTACCTACCTTCACCTTTTTTGACCTACCTACCTATACCTTTATTATGGGTCTCAGAAGTATCTATATTGAGCTTTGCCTGCGTAAAAGGTCTGCAACTAATTTGACAATATCTCAGCAGTTCTTGATGGTTCACTAAACATCCGTCATGATTGGATGCCGCCACTGGCGGATCCAGACTTGCGTTTTGGGGGGGGCCAACTCGTGCAAGGAGCCAAACCTAGGGTACCCCCAAATCCTGTTTTCTCATCGGATTTAGGCCACTTATTTTTCGTCACAGCCCAGAAACGATATTTTTTTTAAACTAAAAAAAATAGAGAGAGAAATGGTAGCCCACTCAACCCGTGCCTTAATATTACTTTGAAAACACTTCAAATTGCTTTTGTCGACCACCGCTCCGGGTCGGTGCTTGGCGCAGCCTTCGCGGGCTGGGAGGTGTCGGTTGAACCTCTCTGCCGTTCGGCCCCTGATCAAGCTAGAGCTCGCGGAAAAAACGAGTGTGTTGCCTGTCAGTGACGAGAGGAAGCCGATGATACCCGATTTTAAGGTCCTTGGTCATTGGTTGACCTTCCAGGGCGGTGTTTCACGGTCGCGCTGCCAGCCGCTGCCAGCGCATTCCGCGAGCTAAGGTCAACCTTCGGTAGTGTTGTAGGTATAGGCTAGTTGATGTCTCCATGGAAACCAAAAGTGCCAACAGCGCTGGCAGCGTGCCGTGAAACACCGCCCAGGTCAGGTCACAGACCCAAAAGACGGGAAAATCAGGGCCTGTCAGAACCTCCTAAAGTAAGGCTGTAATAGATTTTTTTGTGCTGATCACGAATTTCATGTTAGTTTGGATCATAGATGATGTATGTCTTCATGCCTTTAGGCCATGTCGGGGCAGGCCAGGTCAGGTCAACCAGGTCAACCAGTACTTATGGGCGTCCGTGTAGCAGGTGTCCGACTACCACTGGCAGCTACGTAACATGATACGAAGGCATCAAAACTACTTCGTAAATGTTCAAATGGTTGCTAAATGCTAAATTCAAAATCAGCTAAACGAAACTATCCTAGAAACATGTTAAACTCGGAAAAGTGCACCGAGGTCATCAAAGCTCAATGACCTGACTTGACCCTAAGGTGACATTGACACCTACCACAATGGTTGGGACCAACATCATTTCACATGTTTGAGCGTTTTAAACCACGAAAAGACTGTAAACGAGCGGATAATGTGAGCCGACATACGCGGAATCGCGATTCCGGCCAAACATGGCCTCAAACATGGCCAAACATATGGTGCGTTCGGAGAGGCACATTCCACGTGGAATCCGTGGAATACTCCATGCGCGCGGAACATTCCCGGAGATTGGCCGTTCAGAGAGATACGCCTCCGAACGCGGCACGGGGAATATTCCAGGGGACGGTGAATATTCCATGCTCTCCGAACGCACGGATAGTCTCGAGAAATAGGCCACAGGTCAAAGGTCACTTGGGTCAGGGTCATGAAATTTTCAGACTTTGTCAACATGAGGGTGCTAAAGTTTCGTCGCGATCGGATTCATGATAACTTACACGATAACTTCACGCGTCGATCGAGAGGTAAAGTATGCAATAAGAACTTCTTGGGTGAAGACGAGACCAACACTCAAGCTCACATATTTTTAATGATACGATAGTTTCTACCTACTACGCTACTTTCTCACATTCACATTTCTTAAGTGTTTTTGGGGGCCAAAATACATGTTGCCCCCTTTCAGGCTTGGGGGCATGAACCCGTGGCCCCCCTGGATCCGCTAGGCCGAAACTAACTAGGCCGTTTTCAAACGGTCTGATATTTCAGGTCATGGTTTGCAAACGGCCGGTGTTTTCAGGCTGTTTCATATGCCCTGACTGGGCCAGGCCGTTTGCAAACGGACAATTTTCATACGGCCTGTAACATATATTCATATTTCACCATCTGTCGCAGCATCAAATGCTGATGTGGTGCACTCAAAAGCCGGAATTGGTCCTTGGATGCCGTAAGGACCCTTTTAAGAAATAAGTGACCCGACTGACCCCTTAGAGATTGGCCTGAGCTCTGACCGAAATAAGTCTTTTACCGTTTCACGGGAAGGGACAAAAAGGTCCCTGATATGCTTCTTGTACAATTACCAAACAAAACAAGCTTTTCAACGCCAACTCAGTGAGTGTTCCTAAAAAACATTATTGCGCATATTCCGTGAATGAAAAATTGCCGGGTCATGTCAGGTCAGGCTGCCAGAGCAAGTTTGTTAACTTGACAGTTCAATCGATATGTATGCAATAAGACCTTCTCGGGTGACGACAAGACATGACGACACTTTATGAAGGAAGCTAGTAAACCCGGTGGTTTCTCCATAGGCACGGGAACCGGGGCAGTGGGGACAGCTTGCCCACCCCCCAACTATGGGGCCGTGGGGGCGGTGCCCCCACAACTTTCAGACGAAATATCCCATGTTTTGCAAATGTTTTCTTTTTTTGTTGAAAAAAGCCAAGGGATGAAAAATAAGTGGCCTAAAACCACCGGTGAGAAAACTATATTTGGGGAGACCCTAGGTTAATCTCTATTATGGTGTGCCCCCCCCCCCCCAGTCTGAAAGTAGTTCCCGCACCCCTGAGTTTCTCTACGCTATTGAATCACGCCGGTGATTCTAACTTCTAGGTATCTACTACGCAACCTTCTCACATTAATTTTTCTTCAAGCGTTTTGGGAGGGGGGCCAAAAGATATGTTGGCCCCCCTTTCAGGCTTTTGGGGGGCCATGGCCCCGGTGGCCCCCTCCCTGAATCCACCAGTGGGGGGCGGTGCCACCACAACTTTCAGACGGAATGCCGCCCTTTTTGCAAATGTTTTCTTTTTTTGTTGAAAAAGCCAAGAGATGAAAAATAAGTGGCCTAAAACCGGTGAGAAACTAGATTTGGGGGGACCCTAGGTTGATCTCCATTATGGTGTGCCCCCCCCCCCAGTCTGAAAGTAGTTCCCGCACCCCTGACTTTCTCTACGCTATTGAATCACGCTGCTGATTCTAGTAGGTATCTACTACGCAACCATCTCACATTAATTTTTCTTCAAGCGTTTTGGGGGGGGCCAAAAGATATGTTGGCCCCCCCTTTCAGGCTTTTGGGGGGGGGGCCATGGCCCCGGTGGCCCCCCCCCCTGGATCCGCCAGTGGATGCCGCGTATTCCCTTACTTTTCCCCCGTTCACTTGACAGCGCGCTGGACAGCTGCTTATCACCTCGGCTTTTCTGGCTTTCGTTCACCGGATTTCGTCGTTGACACTTAGACCAATTTCGTTTTTATCGTGTATCATTGTCCATTTATTCGGCACATCACTCTAGCAATATTTGCACCATTCAACCAATCACAAAAACGGCGATGATTGTATCACCAATCAAAACATTCGCTGCTTTGAAACGGACAACGTTCAATGTAATGCACACTAGAAACAATGACTAGCTGCTCGTAATTTCAATGTGACTAGCCGACTACAAATACTGAAACTGTCATGACTTTGTAAGTGTTGGGATAACACTGGTCGTGGGTCAGAAAATATCCAACAAACTTACACTGCTACCGTGCAGTGTGCGTGCACTAAAAATACAATATCTCATAGTCATATTTGACAAATACTTCAATGGCAGAGCACACATTTCCCCAAAATACTGACACAAACTAATGTGTAGCAAACCTACACGCACAGCTATATTCTGCAGCAGTGGCGGGTCCAGGGGGGGGGGGCGAAATGGGCATTTGCCCCCCCCCCCAAACGGCATGATTTTAACATTACGCCTATGGACGATGCATGGAAAGAATCGATAAATTGTTATGGTTTGCCCCCTCCAAAACTCTGAGCTGGATCCGCCTCTGATCTGCTGCACTGCATTTGATAATCCCGCTACATTGTTCTAAGGAGCTAGACTGCAGCGACACCTATACTAACACAGCAGCGACACCTATCTTAGGCGGATATGACGGTGGCGCCATCAGCCGGACGGCAAACGTAAAAGGTGGCGCTGCCGGCGTACTCACTCTTGAGCTTCTCAATGCACGCATCCACGGCAGTTCCTTTCAGCTGAAATTAAATGGGAAGCATGGGATCAGGAACATGGGAGCTTACAAGCGGATATCGAAAACCGGGCAACTAACATCAGTGACAGCACATCCCTCCCAAGTAAGTAGGTGCTCTAGTTAAATATGTGACAAACTAACTAACGCCTAGTGACCCGAGGTCCCTGACCTCAGACTTTGTGGTCAGTTGAGCACAACGAGTCAACGACCGTCTGACAAGGTACTGGAATCGTCTGTCAACCTGGAATGATTGGAAGCTTCGCATACAATCGCCACAAATGATAGTCAACCAAAACCCGTCAGACATCCCATAATCTATCTCACGCCAGCCTTCCCCGAGGCCAACTACACTTTAGGTACTCCGACGCATCTACGTACCAGCGTGACGGTGCACCCTCCGAACCCCCCTCCAGTCATCCGGGATCCGAATACCCCCTCAACTGCAGCGGCGATCCGCTGTAGATGGTCCAGCTCCGCGCACGACACCTCGTAATCGTCCCTAAAAAAAATATACGACATCAACGACACCTCGAAATTATCCCTGGAAAACATGAAACTTGTATATAAACGGCAACCCTAAATCGGCTTGAAATAAGGGGATAGGTATACAACAGTAGTGACAACTCAAAAGCGTCTCCGAAAAAAAAAATGTAGGAGACATTGCATAAGAGCTGCTTCAAAATCGTCCAGATGATTGAAACGGATGTCGAAAGGGATGATTGAAATGTTAGCTTAGGAGCCAGTTATGCGTGCGGGGGGGGGAGGGTAACACTTGCCCCGTACCTAAGCGATGCGTGGCTTTCATTCATCAGTTTTCCCGCTGTGACGTAGTCGCCCTTTTTGAAAGCCTCAGCAGCCGCCTCTGTCCGGGCTATCTCAGTGATCACGTGACGAGCGCGACGGTAGTCTTCTTCGGAAATGTCACCTTGTCGCTCTGGAATAGGACAGAAGCAATCATGAGAAAGAGACCAAAGTGTCAATAGATAAACCCCCGGAAGATAATCAAGCACTCACTCCCCGGGCCTTAGGTCGGCTGGAAACAGCATCAAGTTTTATCATCGTTCAGCGGAGTCAATAACGCAGATTTTCCTTTTATCTGAAAGCCTTCCGGACATGCTGAGAACATGACATCGACAGGCTATGAGTCAATACAAGCATGACAAGAATACTTGCTGCTAAGAACTTCGCATTATAAAAGTGAGTTTTGTGACTTTCGTGCACGTCAATAGGCACCAATTCGATCGACACCTCTTCACATCGAGGCATAGGTACAGGCGGCAACTGTATCAACAAATTTATCAACTGAGGCAGCAACTGTATCATGATATTGTGCTCACCTTTTAGAAGTTCCATGGTGGCTTCTCGCAGTGATTTGACCCCGAGTACTTTAGCTGTTTCGAAGCAGGCTCTTCGTCGGCTGGGGTATTCTGAGCCAGTCAGTGTGTGGCGAACATTGGAGTTGGTAATCAACACTGCCACCTGGTGGTCGGCTAGTGGAACTAGAGTTGACTCCAGAGACCTGTAGGCGGCAGGGCGGGCCTGTGCTAGAACGCATCGCTATCGGCCCGGTCTATGGAATGCTCGATCGATCGTACATCGTATGACTGTCGAATGTGAGAGAACACGAACTTTGAGAGACTACGTAAAGTTGCGTTTTAATAGCCTTTACCACTTCTAAATAATTCGTGTTGCAGCTTCATGCTCCCCATCGAGGTCCCCTTTCTGGTCAGTGCGTCTCTTGACTCGCATAGTGCTGATTGATGTGAATTAACAAATTGACTTTGCAATAAACCACATGATTTTTTGTGAAGCAGATAAGTGACAACGTCACAACGAGTTCAACACAACAAACGATACAACACGCACCATCCCAAAATCCACATCAATTCACCTGCAGTCAATGAGCAGCGCGTTGTCCTTTCGACCCATGGCCGAAATGAACTGGTCCATAATGCCGCAGGGCATTCCGGGAAACTCGTGTTCTGCTTTCTGACACTGCAGCGCCTTTTCGCGCAGGCTGGCAAAGGAGAAAAGACGTCAGAAAAACGACATTAGATTGACATGCTGAAGAAGGGACTTTTATCGTGTGTCGAGTGGTAAGGTAAAGCATAAAATTAAATAACCCGGCAGTTGCTGGGGCATTTCGCCACCCACCGTTTGCTGGGGGGGGGGGGCGTTAAACGCCCCCAGCCGATAACTCGAGAACCAATAGGCGCAGCGAAACGCACGAGGCGGCAAACGAAAGAACGCGACGAGACGCTTCAGATGAGTACTTTAAAGTTGAATTTTGAGGTCACAGGTCGGGTCAAGGTCAGGTCAAACACCTGAAATCGGGCTTTCAGTAGCATGGATTTCAGGACTTCGCAATGGGCGCCTCTCGTCATAAACTCTGCCAAAACGGTGCACAATCCATCATATAAGGCCTACAAGAGTGTCAGCTCCATGCAGGGGTCAGTCAAGCATAGGTCAGGGTCAAGGTCAGGTCAACCGGGTAGGCACATATCCCCGAAAATCAAAACTGATATTCGCAGCCTGTGACCCATGTTTTATGGGTAATTTGGGGCGTAGAACACGATGGTGACATTCATTTTATCATATGTGTACGTGCTTGGCTCAAAAACTTCAATTTAAGAAATGCAATCATGGTCGTGAAGTAGTCACGAGAAATTGCCAAGATTCAGTTCAAGATTTTGGAAAATGCAGAACGATAATCAATAATCGAAGATAGCCATTTGATTTTTCATGGTATTGGCAGTCTAATGAAGTTTACGGCATGTCTGTCCGTCTATTCTGTGATTTTATATGATTTTTTGAACATATGCCGTTTTGGTCGAAAACTCAGAAATCATGACGTCACTAAAACCTTGTTATCTCAAAAGTTTTCCGACTGATTTTTTTGAAACTTTGTCACAATAAACTTCAATCAATTCCCTACAGGTACGCAAAATTTGGTGCGCCTGCGGCGCGCCGTTTTTATGCTATGGCCCGGCGAAAAAAGTGGGGGCGTTTAACGCCCCCCCCCAGCAACTCGCGGGATAAAATAAGCGCTAGTCCATTTATTCAGATCCAACTTAGCTCTGATCAGATCCTGTTCATTTTCAACAAAAATACTAAACAAATGCACATAGGAAGTCGTCAGTATTACCTACATATCTAGTATCTACCAAAACTATCAATTTACTTCCGCAGTGGTGGTCGATTACGATTAGGCGATACGCAAACAGACTCATTTCAAGTCACCAATCACATTGTTGTCAGATTATCAACAAACCATCGTGAAGCCAACTCGCCTTCCTGTGTTTATGTCACCTTTTCGGATCTGTTTAACCACCAGCTCTACCTTTCTGCCTTTCGTCCAGTGAGTGCCTCGAGGAAGGTATACATGGCCACCTCTAGAGAGGCAGAACTGGAGAGACCCGCTCCCAGAGGAACGGTCGAGGCCAGCACCGCTTCGAAAGGCACCACGCCGCCTGAAAAAGAGAGTACCCAATCGATTGACGGAACGAGACGATAAAACTTCTAAGGATAACGGCTGTAGGGTAAATGCGAGAAAATGCCTTGAAGTTAGTAACATGGGTAGTGCTGAGATGAGAAAACGCGATCACAGTGCAGCTTGCAAAATATTTGCAGGTCGATTGCCTACTGCCCAGGTATGGAATATGCTTCTGCATTACATTAAATTTCTAAGAACCAATACAAGTGGAAACACAACTTATTTCACTATCTGATCAATTGCCTGACAATAGTTCCTGACACGGACAATGTCAGACAAGACAATCAGTAAGACTTCACGTTAGCGTTTACGTGTCATTAGCTTCAACGGACCGAAACCATTCGACGCAATAACATCAATCTCAAACGCATTAGTAATCAATCAATTTGATTTCAAAGCCTTAAAATTCTGGGCACTCAATCGCAGCTGTGACAATATCAAGCCACGCTACAGTTCAGGTTAGCTTTCTTTGAGCCACAATCTGAGCGGACAGAACCCGATTTCAGCAGAATCCCATTGTTGAGATGAATGATATGCTATTAGAATTACAAAAGTCCAGAACTGTGTCTTTATACAATGCCATGCCACGCTCAACATCTCATGTTGAGGGCATTGAAACAGATCGGTTCGACTTAGTAAATCAACTTCGTGACAACTTAGAGGCATAAGAAATGACGCCACTCGCCATTTCTTATGCTTGCGGCAAAGCGCTGCGGAATTAATTGAAAAACGAACATAAAAACAAACGCATAAAATCTCAATAATGGCCTCATCAGATCGAAAACGCAATGTTAATCGTTAATGTTCGATAATGAGGATAATTATGGTATCCATAACGTAATTAATCGCACAATGACATCGAATACACCTGTCCACAATGTTGAGGAACATCGGTACATCATACAGAAGCCGGGCACCGCGCAATCAGACCTCCCCTCTCCCCCCCCCCCCCGCACACTCAACCCCGCCCCAGGACCAAACCAACACGTGGTGCGGCCGAGGCACAGTTGGCCGCCAGCCAAGTCGCTTGTTTGATCAGCTCTGTTGTCATAGTAGCCATTCGGTTGACAAAGTGAACACTGAACAGCTAGCTGGCCAGTCAGGGACAGAGTAACGAGATGATGTCAAGTGGTTGCATGATAGCGTAAAATGGTGTGGTCACGTGATTGGGTGATAGGCATTGGGTAAATATTAGACGTAGTACTCGAATGATAGCACTAAGGGCTGAGGAGTGAGGACATTATTTGAGTGTTTGCCAAATGCCAATAACTTTTCTTACGAAATAGTGATATGGATAAGTACCTGCAATTAAGTAGTCAAATGTTGAGCAATCTGCAGAAAAAAAAAAACTACGAAAACATTTTGGATGAATTGCTGTATAATTAAAACGTATTTCATGATGATGCTTGTTTCCGAGTTAGGTATGTACTGCCGATAAACACGGTTAGGTACTAAAAACTTTTGAGCTGAAGGTTTTAAATTCTGACCATGGATACTATTTTTACGTTATACCTGCCTGCCTACCTTTGAAGTTGGCCACCACCCCTTTAACGTAGTTGGACCAGGCCGGGGGTCCCGGCCGGAGCGGCGCCTCTTCTGTCGGCAGGTCAAAGGTCACCGATAGGGGCGCGTCGGCCCCGGCCGCCAGGGTGGTCACGTGACACTGGTCCGAGTCAGAGCGGCCACCGACCACCACCGTCACCAGGGGAAGCGCCTGAGGGCAGGGGAAAGGTCACGGGTCAAACGTCAGAGGTCAAAATGCAGAGGGCAGGGCAGATGTCATATGTTGTGCCAGGTCACAGGAAAGATCACGGGGATCAGAGATTAGAGCGAGCGTCTGAACTCTGAGGTGAAGGGTCAGAAGAAACAGGTCACAAGTCAGCGATCAGGGACTAAAGGTAAGAGGTCAGCAATCAAGAATCAGAGGTCATAGGTTAGTGGTAAGAGGTCAGAGATGAGAGGCAGCGCCTGAGGGCATAAGAGGCCACAGGTCAGACGTCAAAGGTTGGAGGTCAGAAGACAGAGGCTGCAAGTCACATGTCAGAGTTCAGAGGTCATCAGTTACAGGTCAGATGTGATTTGAAAGGTGAAAGGTCAGAGGTCTGAGGCAGCACCGCTTGCGTGTATCTCGTACGAAGAGTCAGCACGCACCGTTTAGTTCGCTCATAGATACAATGTCCCTGATAATTACTTCGTGTAAAAACAACGCACACTCCGCACTGATAAGATAGGCCAAGATCGGGAGCGATTGGAAAGATCAATATCGCCCGATCGCCGACGCCACAGAATAAAAAGTCACTAGGGAAGCACGTCAACATCGCTGAATTGAAGTCTGGTCTATTTGAGAGTTGAGCAACTGAAATCGACATAAAAAGGAAATCATACAACACTGTTCGCGGAGGCAAAACAAGCAGGCTGTCAGTGGTCAGATAGTTATGACGGATCAAAGAGAAATTTATGATTGCATTAGAATTTTGTCCTTGATCCGTCATATCTGAACGATTGTCAACCTGAGGTTTTCACTTCTGTGACAATGCTCTCTTTGACTGTTTTTTTTTTTTTGTAACGGTGAAACGCTGTTATCAACACTCGCTGCGAAATAATAATGGCATCGACGTAACTAAAATTCATGATCGACAGCGCGATTCATACGAAGTCCAATAGGTATGCTGTTACCAGCAGACGTAACCATCCAAAGGAGTTCATTATATCACTAAACAAGCTCCAAACAATCATTCCTAAGCAGTAGCGGCGGAACACCCTCAGGGGGGGGGGGGGGGCACTGCCGACTTTTGGTCCCATTCTTTCCATGCAACGCCCATAGGGCTAATGTTAAAATGCCAAAATCAAAGGGGGGCACGGTGCCCCGGTGCCCTCCCTGTTCCGCCGCCTATGTTCCTAAGTCCAAACCAAGCCAACATACACGTTACACAATTACACCATGCAGCCCGATATGCGGAAACTGGAAACTCACCATTGGAAACACGAGTCCCTCGTTGTAATCGGTATGCTCCCCGATCAGGTTGACCCGCCCCGGAGCACAGGCCATCACCGCGGCTTCGTGGCCGTATTTGCCACGGAAGGCTGACTTGGCGAGCTCCAAAAGCACCTCCAGAGGTGGGATTTCTTCAGCCATTGTTGAAGGGTGATTTGAGTGTTGTAAGGTCTATAAAAGGTCAGAGCGTAAGAAAAGAAAAGGGTAAACGAGTTAGTAAATGACGACGGGTGTCTGAAATACGAGCTTCCTAGTAGTAAAGGACTGTAGAATGTAGACCTATAAAAAGTTTATTTTTGCGATGCGACGATGTTCACGAGAATGGGAAGGTTTTCAAATGTTTGAATGACTCTGGCGCAATATCAGTTCAGTTGGGGAAACTACGAGGAGCCAAACAAAAATTGGATTAGCCAATCAGCGGCTGGAGTGGGCGGGGCGATGACCATATATGGTCATAAAATCAGACAACTTCATCTTTTCAATGAATTTTAGCATTCAAATGAAAAAATAAGGCATAAGAATGTTTTTTAACCACACAAGGCCTACACTCACCCGGTGCATAATTAACTGGCGGCTCTAAATCGCAGAGTTACAACGCAAGGTCAAACCGTGATTGGCAAATATGGCGGATTGAAACAGACGCGCCAAAAAATATAAGCAGTACCGTGGTTTAAAAATGTCATTATTTTTATCATTTTGTTTATGGTTTTTCTAATTGTAGTTAAGTTATTATTTAAGAATTAAATATTTTTGTCTATTGTAACTAAATTAAATCTTTTAACAATTTTCTTTCATAAAACCAATCCATTTATTGAATGGCCAGCTGATTGTGACGCCCAGAACCTGCAGAAAAGCTGTTTTCCTATCGCCATTTTCGAGTCAATTCGCCGAATTTAATCAAATCACACTAATTCCTAGTGAAAAATGGAAGCCTTTTCTCTCCAATAAGTGGACGCGATACCGCAAATATCGGCTTGTTATACCGTTTTTCACCCTTAGTAGCGGGGGCTGCATTTATGCCCATATCAGTCGGTGACACATGTGGGAATACGATTCAACCCTCATTCGACTTTTTTGCGCTCGAATTCGACTTTGCGCAAAATAAAACGACAGCGCTTAAAAGCGACAGTTGCCGCAAATTGCACACTCAAACTGCGCTGAAATACGACATTTCTTTCATGTCGCAAAATCTTCAAAGTTATGCATTCTAGGAAGCTCGCTGCAATGAAAAGAGGTAAATTTAGCCCCCCGGAATATGTGATAGTATCAGGACACTGTTTGATTCCGCCACAAATGAGAAAAACGCGATGCAGAACGATGCGGTGAAACTGCGCTCATTCGCGACAAATCGTGGGTAAATTGCGCCTGTATTCAACAGTCCTGTTGGAGCCTGAGTGGTCGAGCACTTTCCGTTTTTCTGTTCTCATTCGTTTATTTCGTAACCAATCTTTAAAAAATGATGCTCATTTGAAAGAGATTTTCTCGCTCGTCATTTCTGATGCATAATGCATACATTTGGTACATCACACTCACAACCATATGTACTTGAATTTTCAGATGAAGGATTTTGCCGCGAAGACGGAGTGGGTGTCGTATACCTTACCTAGATGTTGAGCTGGAATTCGGTGAACAAGTTTTTTTTAAAATAATGACCTGAAGGTGACCCAAACACTTTTAATTGATAGGTGTGTTTGCAAAACGCATTCCGACAGCTTTTTTTTTTGCTTTTAACACTGTATTTTTCTCGAAATACCTGTTTGAATAATTTTCCCGAGTCGACTTCAGGCGCAATTATCAGACACTTAGCCTAAAAACGACACTACCGAGTCAGATAAAAGCGCACTGCGCCATTTTACGACACTCTGCAGTATGATTCGAGCGCATATGCGCCCTTTCCAGACACTTTTATGTTTGATTTGGGCGCATTGCACTTACACTTGACGGCACAATTTACTTGACAGAGGCGGCTTCAGCCACTGGTTTTGTGGATTTAATGCCTTTTATGCTATACTTTAGCATGTTTAGATGTTAACGATCAGTTTTGTTGTATTTACTCTATGCACATACTTACCTGTTGCTTGCGCGGGACCCCTCTTCATTAGGCCTGTTATGCGTAAAGTATTAGCGGAGGGGATTTCCTTCGCACTGGTGTATGTGTTGCCAAATGAGTCCGTGTGGCGCTCAGCTGGTCGGTGTTGGCCGAGATATGAATGCATAGGTGTATGCAAGGCGGCTCCAGTGGCGGTCGCAGGGGGGGGGGGGCGGGGGGGCATCAGGGCCATGCCCCCCAAAAGGCATATCAGGGGGGCATCATATCATTTGCCCCCCCCCCCAAACAACCGATGGGCCCCCATGGCTGTATGGGGCCCTGGCCCGTATTCGATTGTCACGAGGCTCGAGAAACCCACGCCAGCTATTAACAGCTCCTATACCAGTCTTTGAGGGTCTTACACTGACCTCTGAGAGCCCTTCAGTGGCGGTCAAGCGTCCACATTGACCGCTGAGGACCCACATTGACCTCTGAGGGCCCTCCACTGGCCTTTAAGGGCCCCTAAACCGGCCTCAGGGGCCCATCCGGCGTCTGATAGCCTCACGCCGGCCTCTGGTGGCCTCATTTCTGTCTCTCTAGTCCCAAGACTAGCCTTTAAGTGCCTCTGAGGGCCCCGCACTGGATTCTGAAGACCCGATGTCGGCCTCTAAGAGCCCGCATCGGCCTCTGGGGGCCCATTTTGGCCTTTGAGGGCCCTCCGCTGGTCTCTGGGGTCCAACGCCGGCCCATGCCGGCCTTTAAGGGCCCCACACTGACCTCTAAGGGCCCCATGCTGGCCTGTAAGGACCCACATTAGCCTCTGAGGGCCCCTGCACTGGATTCTGAAGACCCAATGCCGGCCTCTCAGGGCCCGCATCGGCGTCTGAGGGCCCATCTTGGCCTTTGAGGGCCCTCCACTGGCCTCTGGGGTCCAACGCCGGCAAATGCCGGTCTTTTAGGGCCCCACACTGACCTCTGAGGGCCCATGCTGGCCTGAAAGGACACACATTAGCCTCTATGGGCCCCGCACTGGATTCTGAAGACCCCATGCCGGCCTCTAAGGGTCAGCATCGGCTTCTGAGGGCCCATCTTGGCCTTTGAGGGCCTTCTGTTGGCCTCTGGGTTCCAACGCCGGCCAATGCCAGTCTTTTAGGGTCCCATTCTGACCTTTGAGGGCCCCATGCCGGTCTGTATGGGCCTACATTAGCCTCTGAGGGCCCCCCGCACTGGATTCTGAAGACCTGATGCCGGCCTCTAAGAGCCCGCATCGGCTTCTGAGGGCCTATCTTGGCCTTTGAGAGCCTTCTGTTGGCCTCTGGGGTCCAACGCCGGCCCATGCCGGTCTTTTAGGGCCCCACACTGACCTCTGATGGCCCGTGCTGGCCTGTAAGGACCCACCTTAGCCTCTGAGGGCCCCGCACGGGCTTCTGAAGACCTGATGCCGGCCTCTAAGAGCCCGCATCGGCCTCTGGGGGCCCATTGAGGGCCCTCTGCTGGTCTCTGGGGTCCAACGCCGGCCCATGCCGGCCTTTAAGGGCCCCACACTGACCTCTAAGGGCCCCATGCTGGCCTGTAAGGACCCACATTAGCCTCTGAGGGCCCCTGCACTGGATTCTGAAGACCCAATGCCCGCCGCTCAGGGCCCGCATCGGCGTCTGAGGGCCCATCTTGGCCTTTGAGGGCCCTCCGCTGGCCTCTGGGGTCCAACGCCGTCCCATGCCGGTCTTTTAGGGCCCCACACTGACCTCTCAGGAATCCATGCTGGCCTGAAAGGACACACATTAGCCTCTATGGGCCCCGCACTGGATTCTGAAGACCCCATGCCGGCCTCTAAGGGTCCGCATCGGCCTCTGGGGGCCCATCTTGGCCTTTGAGGGCCCTCGGCTGGCCTCTGGGTTCCAACGCCGGCCAATGCCAGTCTTTTAGGGTCCCATTCTGACCTTTGAGGGCCCCATGCCGGTCTGTATGGGCCCACATTAGCCTCTGAGGGCCCCCGCACTGGATTCTGAAGACCCGATGCCGACCTCTAAGGGTCAGCATCGGCTTCTGAGGGCCCATCTTGGCCTTTGAGGGCCTTCTGTTGGCCTCTGGGGTCCAACGCCGGCCCATGCCGGTCTTTTAGGGCCCCACACTGACCTCTGATGGCCCGTGCTGGCCTGTAAGGACCCACCTTAGCCTCTGAGGGCCCCGCACGGGCTTCTGAAGACCTGATGCCGGCCTCTAAGGGCCCGCATCGGCCTCTGAGGGCCCATCTTAGCCTTTGAGGGCCCTCTAATGGCCTCTGGGGCCCAACGCCGGCCCATGCCGGCCTTTAAGGGCCCACACTGACCTCTAAGGGCCCCATGCTGGCCTGTAAGGACCCACATTAGCCTCTGAGGCCCCTGCACGGGATTCTGAAGACCCAATGCCGGCCGCTCAGGGCCCGCATCGGCGTCTGAGGGCCCATCTTGGCCTTTGAGGGCCCTCCGCTGGCCTCTGGGGTCCACCGTCCAACGCCGGCCCATGCCGGTCTTTAAGGGCCCCACACTGACCTCTGAGGACCCCATGCCGGCCTGAAAGGACACACATTAGCCTCTATGGGCCCCGCACTGGATTCTGAAGACCCCATGCCGGCCTCTAAGGGTCCGCATCGGCCTCTGGGGGCCCATCTTGGCCTTTGAGGGCCCTCTGCTAGCCTCTGGGTTCCAACGCCGGCCAATGCCAGTCTTTTAGGGTCCCATTCTGACCTTTGAGGGCCCCACGCCGGTCTGTATGGGCCCACATTAGCCTCTGAGGGCCCCCCGCACTGGATTCTGAAGACCCGATGCCGACCTCTAAGGGTCAGCATCGGCTTCTGAGGGCCCATCTTGGCCTTTGAGGGCCCTCTAATGGCCTCTGGGGCTCAACGCCGGCCCATGTTGGTCTTTTAGGGCCCCACGCTAACCTCTGAGGGCCCCATGCTGGCCTGTAAGGACCCACATTAGCCTCTGAGTGCCCAATTCGGTTTCTGATGGTCTCAAACTGCCCTTTGCAGGTCTTGTACTGGTCTCTGAGGGCCCTAATTTTGCCCCTAAGGACCCAAACCAGCCTTTAAAGGTCCCACACCGGCCTCTGATGGTCCCAATTCCTATTTCTGTCTTTGGGACCCAAACTGACCCTTATG